TAGTTTGTTGTGTATTGGAATTAATATTGCAAGGACGTCATCAAGTCGTAAAATGACTCTGTTAATTTGCATGAGAATTTGTGACGTTAAATCAACAGTCTTTTCTTTATCATTCTCCACACCATCAATTACACTTGGTGTCACTTCTTCAGCCTTTTTATCATTGTTGTTACTTTCATTTGCTTTTGTTGTTGCGTTCTTAAGAACGTTTACAAACTCGGAACACGCTTCGACCAATGATGTCACATGTTTTGAGAGTAATGTGTTCCCACTGGACGAAAAGCATATCCTGTCTGGTCGAAACACAAAGAGCACGTTGTTTGCATTCACCGCTTGTTGTAAACAACATTGCAGTTCTAACACTATTTTCTCTGCAGCGAGTGGTCGTAATTCACCAGTCTTCTTCGATACGACATTCTCTAAGATCACAACAAGTTTATGGAAAAACAGCATTTTCGAAATGTAATAATCGTCAAAATTGAGGACCTTCTGTACTTCATTCACAAACGAGTTTTCAAGTGTTGTAAGTCTTGAGTTCAATGCCTTTGTATCCCACGTTTGCGACATCGTCGAAAATTCCTCGTTGAGCATCAAAATGAGTTTTAAAATGTCTTGCAACAAGCACTTCCTTTGTGAGTCGACCAGAAGAAGTGTCCGCAGAAATGTCGAGATGTTGTCCACACACTTCCTCAAGTTAAACACATACAACTGAAACTCTATTTGGTTCGATGGGTCTTCAAAATTCTTCGTTGTCATAAACAGTCGAATGGAACAGATTAGGTTGACCATCACATCTCCAAGGAATTCCTTCGTTTCTGCAACCTTTAGTAAAGTGTCCCGCAGTTGTTCTAACACTGAAATAGGAAAATGGGTGTTCTTATAGATCTGGAGGGCGTGTCGACAATACCCTGATATACATATCTCAAGCGCGTCAACACTCTCTTTAGAGGCTTGCATCACCCCACATTGACACATCAACCGTGTCAAAAATCCTTTGAATTCGTTTTGATTGCTTTGTGTTTTGAAGTCGACCACTTGGAGTAAATCAATACACTCGGTGAAGTACCGACACCAACTGTTAAATGGTTTGTTCATGAAATGCACAAATATGACTGACCGGTCGTATGCGCTTTTAATTTGCTCGACGTCTTTTCGTTGATCGAATTGAAGTCAAGGTGCTCACAATTTATCAAACTGTTTAGCGAAGTTGTAGCTTTCACATCATCGTAGCG